TTTTTTTATTTTTCAAATTTTGAATTGAAATTGACTAATATAAATACTTAATCAAGTGTTCAAATGCTAAATTGAAACAAACTAGTTCGAGTTTTTAAATGAAATTTACTAACAAATTTATGAGAATAGTTATTACTTTCTCAGTCCCATTTTATGTGTCACCCTTCTTTTTAGGTCATCTCGAAAAAAGAATGTCACATTACTATAACTAGAAACAATTTAACATTGAAATTTTCCTTTTATCCATAATGTAATTATTTATTTTTATACAGATATCTAAGAAATTTTTTAGACCACACATTTAAAAAATCTACCTTTTTAAAAAATAGCATATCAAATCAAACAATGCCACATAAAATAAAACTGAAAAAGTATATAAATTTAATATGCTATGAAAAGATAATGTAAGAACTCATTTCATTATTTTAAAAGACATAGTGCATATATGACTTCTTAGTGGAAACACCATTTAAATCACACACAAAAATAAAGTTACATGACAAATATTAAAATCTACAAATAGAACTAAATCCACATATATGATTGTTTATTTTGGAAATCTTTAATTCTTAATTATTAAACTTATAGCCAACAGCTTAATCCGTTAAGTATGCACCGAAAATTTAATAGTTTTAGTTTTGTAAGTTAACATTTTTAATTTCCGTTAAATATTAAATAATGAGTTAATTTACGTTCGTTAGGTTTGGCGGAAATGAAAAGAATAAAAAGAAACATCAAGAAAGTTTCAATAAATACATGACAGGCAATAGTGTTTGGTTTAAAAATCAAATTCTGCAACATAAAAAACTACATCATATAATAAAAATAAATAGCAAAAATTACACCTCAATAAATTGCACCACACTTGAAAAGTAAATAAAATATAATATTAACTATACCTCTAAATAGAAATTTCTACTGTTTTTTTTTAATTATAATTTCAATCTAATCTAATCGATAGAATTTGATAAATATTAAATGGATATAAAAAATATTATTTTAAAGCAAATTTAAATGATGAAAATTTGTTCAATACATACTTCAATATTATTTATCCTACGTGTAAACTTTGGTGAAATCTTATAAATTTCAAGCTATAATATATATTACCATTAATAAATATCTAGAGAGAACAAGTTGTGATACTTTTACCAATTAAATATCTTGAATTGGTTGTCTTGTCAAAGTTTGGTGGTGGGTTACATCATTCATTCATGAATTATGACCGTAAAAATCACCATTTATTAACATACTAGATAATGTGGCTCGTGCTATAATATAAATGGTATGTTTTGGGGTTAATAACCAAGTTTTTGTCAAAATATAGTATTTTATATTGTCAATTATCATGATTTATAGTATTTTTACGTAATTTTTAAATATAATAAATAAATAAAAAATAAGACAAATAAATTAAAATGGACCCAATAAATGTTATTTTTGTTGTCTCAATTTATGTGACACAAATGAAATTTGGAGAGTCATCCAAATCTAAATTGCTAATTATTGTTGTATGATTTGTAATATCTTTTACGCAATTTTGAAATAATAAAGGTTATTTCTTCTTTCTCAATTTATGTGGTACTAATAAAATTTAGAGATTCAATCAATTTTTTTTGTCTTTAAAATATTCTATTGTTAATTACTGTAAATTATTGTACTTTCTAAGTAATTTTCAAATAATATATATTATTTCATTTGTCC